CTCTTAACAAATGTATAGAAAGAACATGCCTCCATATAGTAAAGGCTATATATGGCAAACCCACACCTAACATCATACTTAATGGTGAAAGTTTGAAAGCCTTTCCTGTAAGGTCAGGAAGAAGACAAGGGTGCCAGCTTTTACTACTCATATTCAACACAGTACTGGAAATCATAGCCAGAGTAGTTTGGCAAAATAAAAGGCATCAGAATTAGAAAAGAAGAAATAAAACTATTTGCAGATGATATGATTTTATATACAGAAAATCCTAACAACTGTACCAAAACAAACAGATCAACAACTCAGCAAAGGTACAGATTACAAAATTAACATACAAAAATCAATGGTGTTTCTATATACTAACAATGAGTTATCTGAAAAAGATGGAAATGATCCCACTTATAATAGCATCAAAAGCAATAAAATAGGGGCGCCTGGGTGGCTCAGTGGGTTAAAGCCTCTGCCTTCGGCTCAGGTCGTGATCTCAGGGTCCTGGGATCGAGCCCCGCATCGGGCTCTCTGCTCCGCGGGGAGCCTGCTTCCTCCTCTCTCTCTGCCTGCCTCTCTGCCTACTTGTGATTTCTCTCTGTCAAATAAATAAAATCTTTAAAAAAAAAAAAGGCAATAAAATACTTAGTAAATTTACTCAAAGAGGCCAAAGATCTCTACACTGAAAACTATAAGACATTAATGAAAGAAATCAAGTAAGACACAAATGGAAAGATATTCCACGTTCATGGATTGGAAGAATATTGTTAAAATGTCCATACTTTCCAAAACCATCTATACATTTACTACAATCCCTATCAAGGTTCCAGTGGCATATTTTACAAAAGTTAAAAAAAAAATCCTAAAATTTGTATGGAACCACAGAAGACCCTGAATAGCTAAATAATCTTCAGGAAAAAACAAAGTTGGAGGCATCACAATTCCTGACTTCAAACTATATAATAATGCTGTAGTAATCAAAACAGTATGTTACTGGCATAAAAAAATACACACATGAACCAATGGAACATAATCCAGAGTTCAGAATTAACCCCCCACCTATACAATCAATTAATACTTGCTAAGGGAGGGCACCTGGGTGGCTCAGTTGGTTGAGAAACTGCCGTCGGCTCAGGTCATGATCCCGGACTTCCAGGATCGAGTCCCGCATTGGGCTCCCAGCTGCTTGGGGAGTCTGCTTCTCCCTCTGACCTTCTCTCTCATGCTCTCTCTCACTCATTCTCTCTCAGATAAATAAAATCTTTAAAAAAAAAAAAAAATACTTGCTAAGGGATCCAAGAACACTCAATTGAGAAAAGACTCTCTTCAATAAGTGATACTGAGAAAATGGGGTTTTCACATGTGAGAGAATGAAACTAGACTCCTCTATCTTGAACCACTCACAAAAATTAACTCAAATAGAATAAAGACTTAAACATGAAACCTGAAGACATGAAAATCCCAGAAAAAAACCTAGGGGAAAAGTTGTCTTGACACAGGTCTTGGCAATGATGTTTTGATAAGACAGCTAAAGCACAAGCAACAAATTAAAAAATAAATAAGTGCGACTTTGTCAAACAGAAACTTCCACACAACAAAAGAAGCAATCAACAAAATAAAAAGACAACCTATATGTGAAAAGGAGAAAAAAATATTTGCAAGCTGTATATCTGATAAGGAGTTAATACCTAAAATATATTAAGAACTCCTAAAATTCATTAGCAAAAAGAGAAAAAAAGCAAATAATCCAGTTGAAAAATGGCCAAAGTACCTGAACAGACGTTTTTCCGAAGAAGATATTCAAATGACCAACAGGTGCCTGAAAAGGCACTCAGCATCACTCATCGCTAGAGAAATGCAACTCAAAACCACAACAAGCTGTCGCCTTACACCTCGTAGAATGGCTGTCCTCAAAAAGACAAAGACAACCATGCTGGCACGGTCTTAGAGAAAAGAGAAGCTGGGTATGCTGCTGATGGGAATGTAAGTTGGTATAGCCACTTTGGAAAAGACTATGGAGATTTCCCCCAAAAATTAAAACTAGAACTACCCTACGATCCAGCAGTTCCACTTCTGGGACCATCAGAAGGAAATGAGGACACATGTTGCCGAGATGTTGCGCACCATGTTCTCTAGCAGCATTATTCACAAGAGCCGAGAAAGGGAAACAACCTCGTGTCCATCGGTAGATGAATGGATAAAGAAGTGTGTACACACACACACACGCACACACATACACACACACTGGAATATGATTCTGCCATAAAAAGGGAGAAATCCTGCCATTTGCAGCAACATGATTAGACTTTCAGGGCATTATGTTACCTGCAGTGAGTCAGACAGAGAAAGACAAATACTGTGTGATCTCACTGATATGTGGAATCTAAAAGTACCAGCCTCACAGAAAACCTGCTACTTTGTTGCCAGGGGCACAGTGGTGCGGGGAAGTAAGGGAAGGGGGACACAGACTTCTGGTTCTAAGATCGGGGAGTAAGACTTCTGGTTCTAAGATCGGGGAGTACTGGGCTTATAATGTACACGATCAATGTAGCCAGCAATGCCGTATGGAATGTTTGAAGGTTGGCAAGGGTAGATTCTAAAAGTTCTCATCACAAGGGAGAAAAGTTGTAATACACGTTAACTAAATTTACGTGATAATCGTTTGCTAGTACATAGATATGTCAAGTCATTATGCTGTGTGCATCAATATATCGCATTAGAACTGGAAGAAAATAATTTGTTTTCCCATCTGTGCGAAGTTGTCTCTCTGCCAGTCTTGCCATTTTACTTTACGATTGACCCTCCAACACTTGGGGTAGAGAGGGTTCAATCATAATTCCAACTATTTTCCTCAAAAAAAAAAAAAAAAATTTTTTTTCTTATATGAGGACTTTACTGTTTCCTTGAAAAGCATGATTCTTTGACTGAAAGGAATATACTCCAAGATAATTGCAGTGAGACAGTAAGTTAAAATTCATGATTTTGTATTTTAGCTTATTCATCTTAGTTTTCTATCATTTTATTGTAATTTCCATAAAGTTGGGAGATTCACAAATGTATTTAATTGTAACCCTCCTTTAATCCTGGTTGTACTGCTACACACTGAATGCGTCCCCTAAAAGTCTTATGTGACAGCCATAAGCCCCAAGGTGGTGGTGTCTGGAGGTTGGGCCTTTGGGCAGTGACTAGAGTTGAATCAGGTGGTGAGGAGGGACTCTCATGATGAGAGTAAAACTGTGTTTATTCTTTCCCCACTAAGTATTGTCAGGGAAACGCAGAGAGAGAGAGAGACACACTTAGATATATATCTGTCTCCTAAGGGTCTAGTCCCAATAATCCAAAATTGATAGTCTGCATACAGAAAAGCAGAAAGGAATTTATATGCAACTACAAACTAGAGAAATAATTTTGCGCTCTTGTCCTTTGAGCCTATGTAAAGCCAGGATTTTAATCAGTTTGCAGAATCTTAAAATGCGTTGTGTCAAACTCAGGTGGTTGTGCGTATATGTCCTGTTCTCCGCTGGGAAGTTGGCAGGCCCACTAGAGCATCCAGAATTGTCTTTATGAATAAATGGTTTGCAGCACTCAAACTGCTGCCAGGAGAGCCAAGGCCTCTTTCTCCAACAGATCCCAGATAGACTTTGTCATGAATCCATGACCGCCACCCTAACCCACTATCCACGTAATCGTGTCTAGTTTTGTAAATCTGTGTGCCTATTCGTATAATTTGGAAACTTCATCTCAAAGAAGTTCCAAATTATTGAAGAGCCAAGAGCTTCTGACGCTGAATTATGTATCAGGTGCACTCCATATTCTTGTGTGGTTTTTACCTTATAACTTAGTGTTTGCATTAGTAAAGGCGCTGACAACTCTGAAAAATAAGTACTTTGAGTTTTAATAAGTAAACTGTGTTAACTGGTAATTACTAATTACCATTGTCCTGTAATGCTATCTCTGAATTTTTAAATTGCTTTTTCAAGATTTCCTCGGAAAGATAACAAGCTCCCCCTAGTGGGAAGTGAGCATTATAATGAGTTATTCCCCCAAAGCAGTGTAACTTCAGTTACATTTTGTAACGGAAAAGGGCTCCTTTTATTTTTCTCTTTGAATTTTAACCAAGAGAATAATATTGGTTATCATGGAATGTGTATAGGACAGTCCTGAGTTTGCCAGCATGTTGAGGAACTGCTCCTACGTAATAAAGAAAGTGAAGTTACCTTGGCTTAATGCCTTAATGCCTCAATGCCTCGGCATTCGCTCCAGCTAACCCGTTAGACTTTCTACCTACATGGAATTAGAATTTACTTACCAATTACATATATATCACTTAGCACCTAACCTTTTACTTTGATATTTGATAATTAAGTAGTTAGAAGATTATCTCTCATCTCTTGGCCTCATTTTTATAGCTGGGCTTATGGCTTCCTCAAGATTTCACAGTTGGAAGTTGGCTTTGACCTTTGAGTTCCTATTAATTTTACAGAAAGCAAGCCTTGCTCATTTTTGCTTTTCTTAATTTATGAGAAAAATATAACCAAAATCCCATGCTTTTGTGGAAGTAATTAGCTTTCCGCCCCATATCATTCAGACTTGAAGCTAAAACTGCATCTTCATAGAATTTAATAACTTATGTAAAATGTTAATTCTCAATCATCAAGAAAAGTTATAACTGCACCCAGGCAAGGAAGTAAGTAGCACATTACAAAATGGGTTTTGATTTTACAATTGGTAATGAAACAAAAATTTAAAAATTTAATGAAATTTTGTCCGAGAATGGCATATATCCCAGAATAGTTAACAGCCAATAACTAACTCCTGGAAGAGCAGTTATGGCAAATTATGGAAACTTTCAGTTTTGAAATCCTACAAGCTATGTTTCACGTGTCCCACATCTTACATAGCTTATGTCAAAGCACAGGCTTCCCTGCTTTTTGGTAACTGTTGACAAAGTTCTTCCACGCTGGAGAAAGGTTGTCTCTCACTAAACATTTTGTTTTATCGTTTTCTTATAGCGAACAACATGCTTGGCTTTGGAACACTGGTCAGTACTTCCAACACCTATGATGGGTCTGGTGTCGTGACCGTAGAAACGGACCACCCGCTCCTCTGGACCATGGCCATCAAAAACTAACCCAGCAAGTGGCATCCATGGCCGGGCCTCGGATTCACCTCATCTGCTGCTGACTTACAGCTCCACAAGAAGAGTTCACCTTGGTTTACAGAAATTTAAACCTCTCCATGGGATGCCCCCTAGTTTTAAAGATGTTAATGTTTCGGGAACCCCAGGTAACATAAATGACAGATCTCAACTCTACAGTGAGGGAGAAAAATTATTTGTAAAGAAAGTACATAAGTTCCATTACATTCACTTGGAAAACCAAAGTGGGTCATTCCCCTACAAAATTCAGTACCGATTGTTAGCATTCCATTTCTCCTAGGGAATTGTTTTTAATTTTGAAGCGAGACTGTTCTCTGTTGAGGGTCTCTGGTGTCCAACACATCAGCTGCCTCCTGCCCATCCTTAAATCCTTACGCCGAAGGCTCTGTCTGGTGTTTATGAACGCTGGAGTCCTCTGTAACATGGGGAAAAGTTCCTTTGGGATTGGGCTGTTAGGACGGCGCCATTTCGCCCTGGCCTTATTACGGTCTTTGGTATTATCTTTTAAAATAAATCAAGAGTCACTGACCTAATTATTAAATTTGAAAACAGGCAGTTACGACAGCTGTAGGTGCCGAGACAAACGGCATGAAGGGTACATGACAGTTCATAAAGGGCTCCCGACACTTCACCCCCTCAGCTCTGAGGTGAGAGCAGTGGGCTCCGGTGGAGCAGCAGGTGCAAACTGCCCTCCTCCGAGTCACAACCGAGGCCGGAGATGCGGTGCAGAGGAAACTCATGCGTGAAAACGGAATGGTTTCTGACATACCGAGACTGAAAAATAGAGGTCCCCAAACCCCAAGTTAATGCAGAGGGCCGGGAAAGGCGCGTGACACCAAGTGTAAGAATCTGGGTCTGAAGGCCCGAGCTCCTGTCCCCGCGCGGCCATGCACCCTGGGAGGGGAGGGCGGGTGGTGCCCGAGCTTCCCTCCCCCGCGCGCAGCTTCCCGCGCTGCCACCTGCCAGGGACCGGGCAGAGAAGGCTCAGCGTCACCGGCGCGGCCGTTCAGACCACCTGGGACACCGAGGTACGCCCTCGCTTGACGTTTAATGAGCCCCTCGTCTCCCTTCTTACCCTCTTCGGTCTATTTCCCAACTCAACGGTGCCGTAGAGCCGCGGCGCGAGAACCCACCCGCCGGGTTTTGCGGACGCGCATCCCCCGTCTGCTCTCGGGGACCCGCAGCTCTGTCCACCCGGTGCTGCGACGAAGCAGGAGGCAGGTCCTCCGCGCGGTCGTGACCGGGTCCCACGAGAGGGCGGTTGTAACGACGACGCCAGCGCAGGAGACGGGAATCCGATGTCAAATAAAAATAGTTACCAACCCGTGTGCGTGTCTGTGTCCGTTTTTAAGAAAACAGCCCCTTTTCTCAACTGTATTTCATGGTCACCAGTCTCTCATCATCAAGAGGAAAACAACGGCCCGAAGGGTGGCTCCCAGCGACGGCACCGGACTCCCCGATCGCGAGCCGCCCGTGGTCCTCCGGCTGCCACCGCAGGGAGGGCGCGCGCTCCCACGGGCGGTGCTTGCGCTGCCCCGGACTCGCGGCCCGGCTCGAAGAGAGGGCGTGGGTAGAGCACCCTTGGGAAACGGGCGGAGCGCTTTCGAAGACATTTATAAGCTGGAGAAAAAAGGAAGGAACTGCCATGGTAGAGAAAGTGAAGAAAGCCGGTGGGGGAGGAGCCTCGGGGAAGCAGGAAAAAGCGGCAGGACCGGGGCCCAGGTGAGCCGCCCAGGCCCTGCGCCCCGCGCTGCGCGGCGTGGAAGGCCCCACTGCAGGCCCCACTGCAGACCCCGCGCATGTTCTCCACCAGACGCACGGCCCACCTCCCCGTTCACCGCAGGCACAAGGGCAAAGAAGCCAGGGCCAAGGTCACTCGAGGTCCTTTAACTAAGAACCTCCAGGGGAAAAACTTAGTACCCGAGCAACACCTGCACCAGAAGCAGCTGGAAAGGAGCAGAGGGGTGGTGGGTAACGCTCGTGGCACTCTTGACACTCGTGAGTACTTTTCCTTTCCCTTGAAAGCCGAGGCGCAGCCATTACATCTTCATCACCAGAACGTATTCTCAGCACATGAAAGAAATGACTATTGTTTTAAAACTTTACCACAAAATAATGCATGTCCTCTTTCTCCTGAAAATCTTGCCACTGTTACTAAGTGGATACTTAGCAAAAAGAATAGTCTCTGAAACGCAGTAAGCGCAAGGGGGCAAGCCCCGCGACAGCCCACACTCACCGACTCCGTATCACGCCGGAGCAACAGGCTCTGTTCCAGGGAAGGGCGCCTCGCCCCCTTGTGTCCGGCTACTGAACAATGGGGTGTCTGACCCCATTCCATTCCTTAAAGCTACCGAAGTGCTATTTTCTTTTGTGCTTGCTCACCGCATCATCTAAACACGTACCTGTTATGTTTTTTCTAACAGCAGGAGTCTGTAGAAGGTGAGATCTCAGGGCCCCAGGCAGCCCCCTTCCCACCCTCCTGCTCATTTTGGATCCTGACCTCCAGCTCATAGCCGTGAAGGACACGGGAGCTGGGCCTGCTGGCCAAGTGACCTGTGTTCCTTGGACCCTTTGACTTCAATCTGTTTTTTCTTTAGGTGGGTCGGACGTATGGCTTTTATAAATCTAGTGATGGTGACCCCAAAATAACATCTGGTCACCTACGTCGCTGGCCACTGAAAGCACGCTCTGCTCACTTTCCTCCACAGGCGGCTGGGAGATGACAATGGCCACAGCTCCCGGAACGCTGGTGGGAGTCACAAGGGACTCTGAGATATAAGCTGTGTGTGGTCCAAGGAATTTGAAAGGGGCTGCTCTCCCAGATGGAAGATGGCCAGGGCAGTACATCTCTATTCCTGAATTTTTACTAAGCAGACAGAGCGAGGTTCCCTTGGGATGGGAGCTGGTGCCATGCCGGTAGTCACAGGGGACTCTCAGAGCGAGGGGGAGGTGGCTGGGACCGCATGCACATTCAGGAAGCTAAGTGCTCACCACTTGTGTTTGCTTCCATAGGTGCGGAATGCGTTTTAAACAGACCTTGCTTACTACCCTTGCTCAAATTCACACCCTCCAGAGTTTTATCCGAACAGTCAAAATAAAGCAGCACATGGATTGGATGTTATTGAGACAGAGGATATAGGCCAAGTCAGTAAGCAGTAGGAAACTCTATTCCCTAGGGTGCCATGGTTATAAAAAGGGTGTGGTCTGAATGGTGACTTTCCAACTATACTGATCACAACCCACTAGAAATACATTCCGTCATATGACCCAGACACACACAAACGTGCACACACGAGTGTGTGCACAGGGGCGCCTGGGTGGCCCAGTGGGTTAAGCCTCTGCCTTCAGCTCAGGCCATGATCTCAGGTCCTGGGATCGAGCCCCACATCGGGCTCTCTGCTCGGTGGGCAGCCTGCTTCCCATCCCCCCGCCCCAACCGCCTGCCTCTCTGCCTACTTGTGATGTCTCTGTCAAATAAATAAATAAAATCTTAAAAAAAAAAAAAGAGTGTGTACACACACAATATGCTTTAGTAATTTTATTCTAAACTGAAATGGAAAACATCCAGAAATCTATTCTATATAGAAAAACACACACCCGGGGTGGAGTGGAATGCATAAAGGACCTTCTAAAAACTGTGTATGTAAATACAAGATTGTGCATCGAGCCTACTCTTCCTAAGACAACAGGAGTCTAACTCACCACTTTGTCTTCCCCCCCCCCCGTAACAACAGGCTTCATTCTTACCTGCGTGCTAAGAGGAACCACCTACCAATGACAACAGCCCAAATGTGATACTATTGGGAAGGAGAACATCAATTTAACTTCATTAGAAGTGGGGAGGAGAGCTAGATTATTTAAGTTGTGTCTAAAACATTCTTCTCAGAATAAAATAAATGATCCTTCCACCCAGAAAGAAATGAAAATCAAAGCCACAAGGTCAAGCCATTCCCAGGGAGTCAGCGTATCGGGAATGGAAAATCCCTCGCACTTACAGTACACGTCCCTTCCTTGCCCACGGCAGATTTCACTTATCAATCATAGTTTTCTTTTTTGATGAGCCCCCTTCTGAGCCTCATCTTAGCACAGTTCTCCTGGCAGGCACGATCAATTACTCTCCATTGGCTTGGCGCCCCTGGAGGCTCAGAGCTAACGTGTGATCTCCCCACTACACAGACTGGCGATGCTTACAACCCCAGAAAGAGGTCATGGCAACATCATTTTCTTCACATGTTCACCGTGTACTTAATTCTACCCCTGGAAGCAACTTTGTATGCAGCAAAATAAAAAGATTAATGCCACCCCTGCCAGTGACTTGAAAACCCATAAACAAGACCCTGAAATCACTCAGAGTTAAGAAATAAGAAATTTCTCATAATAGACCTATAGATCCCCGAGAACCAAGAAATCTAAGCCACACGATACTGTATTAGTCCAAAGGTGGGAAAAGGTTTTTAACTAACAGTAAAAGGCATTGATAAAAGATTACAAACCATATCTTAAATATTGCTTTTAAAAATACCTTCAAATCCTAAAGACTAGTGAGTATTTCATGGCGGGGTAGATTTTGAACAACAAACATGGGAAATTAGGGATATAAAATTCTGAACTGAACAGAGCCCATCTGAGAGGCATAATTAAGTTTGTGCTTAGCTGCTTACCACAGTGAGTCCCCTGCTAGACTACAGACCCCCTGGGAGCACGAACTTCGTGATTCACTGTATCTGCTCCGTCCTTGGTCTCCGTGCCGGGTCTGGTCTGCAGCAGGTGTTCAGGACATCAGTGTGTGGCGGCACTGGTGCACCACGGCGCCTCCCACCTATACCCAGGCCCCAGGAACAGTGCGTGGCTTCCCAAGTCCCTGGGAACTGCTATTCTTTTCCTTCCTATCCTGAATTATCTAAGATTTAAGTAGATTTGCTCAAGTTTCACTGAAATAGCTTCCTCAATCTGAAAGATAAAATCCCCAATTCTAGATTGGACAGACCGGGTTATATATACCTGCCCACTCACATATCTGAAAAAGGAAACAATGTTCAAAACACCAAGGCCTGGTTTAAAGACCTCATCCAGAGCAAAGCCCAGCTAGCAACAAACTCAGAAGGCCAGGGAGTTTTAAATTGCTTGAAATAGGGAAGGAAAAATGAAAGCCATGAGGCAAGAAAGGACAGAAGTTTGGGAAATCGGTACGGACTAAAAGAATCAAGGTCAAAATAAATGAAAAGAGCATGTGTGATTGACCTAAATTGCCAGGAAAAAAAAAAAAGGAAAGAATATGAGATTAACAAGTTTTTCAGAGTTAGAAATCTTGTGGCTGGACCTATTTTCAGCTTTGGAGGTTCAAGGAACAACCCTGGTGTCCGAAAGTTGAAGTAGACTGCAGACAAGAATATATGTTATATTGAAATACTTGGAGACCATGACATTCAATTCCGATATTCTCTTTGTGTTTACATCTACTTGTTCACAAAGTACACCTTCAGCATGCACCAGAAATTAGTCTCAGGAGTCTAAAACCATTTTTAAAAAATGGTGTGTTATCTCCAACTGAATTACCCATACTAAACCTCATTATTTGTCATTCTAACTTAGTGTTCTCTATTAATAGGTAACACTGTTAACTAACTTTTTAAAGAGTATAAATGCCACAAAAGGATTAATTTTTATTGAAAAATTACCTTATCCAAAAAACCTGTCTTCCTATCTTATTTATGTAGTTACTCAGCAAATATTTGCAGAACGCACGACCAGGCTATGTTACGTAAGACACTCTACTCACACAGAAATTCCTATACCTCGTCCCACCAGTTCCTGCTGGATAAACCCGATGGTTTTACTATCGTCTGTTATAAAATTAGAAAAATAATCATCTCAAAAATAGCAAGGCTTTCAATACTATGGCTTTGGGACCAAATATATGAAGGGTATAGAGTAAGGGATTTTTTAAAATAATAGAGAGGTTTTACTTTTTTTCGTACCATAGGAAATATTAAGTGTCTGCCAATTCTCTCTCTACTATGTCAACTTCATTAATTCAAGAAATATTTTCCACCCTACTGTTCATTCCCTATTCATGAAAAAAGTTTCCTAGGCCCCAATGGTCTACACATTCTGCTCTTTTACTTGGAGGCCTTAAAATTCCGGAAGCCTGCATGAGTAATGAGATGAGGAGAAATGGTGCAGAAAGTTGTTGGGAAGCTTTTCGTTGGTGAATTTATTGTGCATATTTTAAAGTTGACCTTTTAATCCAAGTTTTTATTCAATTCCATTGCAAGGAATCGAGCAACATGGTCAGTTTGAATATTTGTATGCCAGCGGT